GGGACATAAAGTGATACTCGTGAGGAGTGTGCCTCTTAGCTCAAGTAGATACAAGAGACTTAACGGACAGCTTCTGTCCGGAGGTGAGACAGGAAGGCAGAGAAGGTTAGGAGTTGACTGATGGACATGGGGAATCAGGGGTGGAAAGGAGGAGTGTGCTGTCGCAGAATGGGTTGAGCAATGAGGATCACATAACAATGTGTGAATAAATTTTTGTATGGGAGACTGACCTGAAATGTAAACTTCATTTAAACTACAACAAAAAAAAAGGTGATCCAACAGAATGTGGAAATTATCGAACAATATCTTTAATATCACATGCAAGTAAAATTTTGCTGAAGATAATTCAAAAACGGGTGCAGCAGTACATTGACAGGGAACTGACAGAAATTCAAGCCGGATTCAGAAGAGGACATGGAATGAGGGATATCATTGCTGATATCAGATGGATCATGGCTGAAAGCAGAGAATATCAGAAAGATGTTCACTTATGTTTTATTGACTATGCAAAAGCATTTGACTGTGTGTATCACAACAAATTATAGATAACATTGTGAAGAATGGAAATTCCAGAACACTTAATTGTGCTCATAAGGACCCTATACGTAGACCAAGAGGCAGTCTTTCAAACAGAACAAGGGGATACTGCATGGATTAAAATCAGGAAAAGTGTGTGTCATGGTTATATCCTTTCACCATATTTATTCAATCTGTAAGCTGAACAAATACAGTAGCCCCCCTTTACCCATGGTTTTGCTTTCTGCAGTTTCAGTTACCTGCAGTCAACCATGATCTGAAAATATTAAATGGAAAATTCTAGAAATAAACAATTCATAAGTTTTAAATCACATGCCATTCTGAGTAGCATGATGAAATCTCATGCCGTTCCACTGCGTCCTGCCCGGGACATGAATCATGTATCTACGCTATATACGCTACCTGCCCGTTAGTCACTTAGTAGCTGTTTTGGTTATCAGATCGATTGTCGTGGTATCGCAGTGCTTGTGTTCAAGTAACCCTTATTTTACTTGAAATAATAGCTCCAAAGCACAAGAGTAGTGATGCTGGCATAAAGTGAAAAGGTCAAAGTTCTTGACTTGATAAGGAAAGGAAAAAATCGTATGCTGAGGTTGCTAAGATCTATGGTAAGAACGAATCTTCTATCTGTGAAATTGTGAAGAAAGAAAAAGAAATTCATGCTAGTTTTGCTGTCGAACCTCAAACTGCAAAAGTTACAACCATAGTGCGTGATAAGTGCTTAATTAAGATGGAAAAGGCATTAAATTTGTGTGTGGAAGACATAAATAGAGAACATGTTCTAATTGACAGCAACCTATTATGCCAGAAAGCATTGAGCCTATGTGAAGACTTCAGCAAGGGATCCCCTGAAACAGTGTTACCAAGCCATTTACTGCAAGTAAGAGATGGTTACACTGATTCAGGAATAGGCTTGGCCTGAAAAATGTAAAAATTGCTGGAGAGGCTGTGTCTGCCGATGCAGAAGCTGGTGCCACATTTCTGACAGAGTTGAAGAAGTTGATTAAGGAGAAAAGATACCATCCAAAGCAAGTCTTCAGTTGCGATGAAACTGGGTTCTTCTGGAAGAAGATGCCCAATAGAACCTATATTAATAAAAGTGCAAAGGAGGTACCAGGGCATAAAATATGGAAGAGCAGATTAACTATGGCACTATGGGGCAACACTGCAGGGCATACGATAAAGCCAGGTGTAGTGTACAGAGTGAAGAACCCATGTGCTCTCAAAAACAAAAACAAAATATATCTGCTTGTGTTCTGGCAACAGTTAGAAAGCGGGAGTGACAGCCATCTTGTTTATGGAATGGTTCCACCAATGCTTCATCCTAGAAGTGAAAAAATAGTTGGAAGAGGAAGGGTTGGAATTTAAAGCCCTATTAATAATAGATCATACACCTGGCCATCCCATGTCTGTTTGCTATATAAATGTTAAGGTTTTATTTTTACCTCCAAATACAACCTCATTGCTTCAGCCTCTTGACCGGGGCATCATTCAGTTTGTCAAGGCCACATACACCCACCTGGTATTTGATTGCACTCAATCAGCAGTTGATGTAGACCCTGATCTGGACATAATGCCATGCTGAAAATCCTTCACTATTGCTAATGCAGTAGCATTCATCAAAGCTGCAATGGATGAGTGAAAACCAGAAACTATAAATGCCTGCTGGAAGAACTTATGGAATGAAGTCGTGAATGATTTTAAACGCTTCCCCAGGATTGATTGAGAAGTTCGGAAAATCATTCACACAGCAAGAAAAGTTGGTGGAGAAGGATTTGCCAACATGCTTGATGAAGAAGTGGAAGAACATATTGAAAGCCATCGAGAGCTGTTAACAAATGAGGAACCGGAAGAACTTGTTGAGTCATCTACCAAGGAAGAGGAAGATGAAGAAACTGAAGCAGAACCAGCAATGTGGACGTTAGTGAAATTTACCAAAGTGTTTCAAATTGCACAAACATTAAAGGACAAAATTATGGAATACAATTCTGTATGATCACCGAAGGATTGCAACCTCTGCAGCAACACTTTGATGAGTTAAAAAGAAAGACACAACACCTTCTGATTACAGTGTTCTTCCAGAGGGTTTCAGAAAAAAAAAAACTATCGGGGATCCCCAACCATTGACATCATCATGACTTGATGGTCCAGGGTCACCCGTAGCAGATGATCCACCTTCTGACGTATCATCAAAAGGTCAGTAGTTGCCTAACACTACATCATAATGCCTACATCATTCATCTCACTTCATCTCTTCATGACGGCATTGTATCATCTCACTTCACAAGAAGAAGGGTGAGTATAGTACAAGATATTTTGAGAGAGAGAGAAAGACCATATTCACATAACTTTTATTACAGTATATTGTTATAATTGTTCTATTTTATTATTAGTTGTTGTTAATGTCTTACTGTGCCTAATTTATAAACTAAACTTTATCATAGGTATGTATATATAGGAAAAAAGATAGTATATATAGGGTTTGGTACTATCCATGGTTTCAGGCATCCACGGGGGGGGTCTTGGAACATATCCCCCGCGGATAAGGGGAGACTATTGTAATCAGAGAAGCTGGACTATGTGAAGAAGAACGCGTCATCAGGATTGGAGGAAGACTCATTAACAACCTGCAGTATGCAGATGACACAACCTTGCTTGCTAAAAGTGAAGAGGACTTGAAGCACTTACTGATAAACATCAAAGATTACAGCCTTCAGTATGGATTACACTTCAATATAAAGAAAACAAAAATTCTCACAACTGAACCAACAAACAACATCATGATAAATGGAGAAAAGATTGAAGTTGTCAAGGATTTCATTTTACTTGGATCCACAATCAACACCCATGGAAGCAACAGTCAGGAAATCAAACGACATATTGCACTGGGCAAATCTGCTGTAAAACACCCCTTTAATGTGTTAAAAAGCAAAGACGTCACTTTGCGGACTAAGGTGCGCCTGACCCAAGCCATGGTATTTGCCTCATATACCTGCGAAAGCTGGACCATGAATAAAGAAGACCAAAGAAGAATTGATGCGTTTGAATTATGGTGTTGGCAAAGAATATTGAATATACCATGGACTGGCAGAAGAACAAACACATCTGTCTTGGAAGAAGTACAGCAGAATGCTTCTTAGAAGTGAGGATGGCAAGATTTCGTCTCACATACTTTGGACACGCTGTCAGGAGCGACCAGTCCCTGGAGAAGAACATCATGCTTGGTAAAGTAGAGGGTCAGCAAAAAAGAGAAAACCCTTCAAAGAGATGGATTGACACGGTGGCTGCAACAATGGGCTCAAACATAGTTTGATTGTGAGGATGGTGCAGGACTGGGCAGTGTTTCTTTCTGTTGTACATAGGGTCACTATTGGTCAGAACTGACTGGATGGCACCTAACAACAACAACCATAATTTATGGCAATAACTAGTCCTATATTGATGGACATTTAGGTTGTTTCAATTATTATTATTGCAAATGATATTGCAACAAACATTTTTATACATTTAGAATACTTTTTCAAATATGTGTTTAGGATACATAGAAGTGTTGGAATGCGTGGTCAAAGAGTATGCCTATTTAATATTTTGATAGAGGCTGTCATATCACTCTCCCAAAGTCTATTACTATTTTATTTCTTTGAGTAACATCTAGTTAAAAAATATTTAATTGCTGTTTAGGAAGCATTGAGTTTCTTTTATGGTGATGGAAAATTTGGCAACAGATATTGGTGATAGTTGCACAAGATTAATGTAATTGATGTCACTAAATTGTACCTGTGAAAAACTTTAACTTGGCAAATGTTGTGTTATATGTATTTGTACAATAATAAAAAAATTAGAAAAGACAAAAATAATTGCAGAGAATCTATTTAAATATTACAAATTCCCCAGGTCATTCAGTATTTCTACCCAGTTTTCCAAGGGATCCTAAGAAAATTATTAATAAATCGACATCTATAGCATCTTGATTTAATCCTTTTAAAGAATGAGTGAATAGAATAATGTTTTGAGTTTTTGAAAAAGAGCCACTGTAGACCACTGTAGTATCTGCATATTAAGAACATAATATACAAACTGCTTTTAACTTAGTACTTTGCATGAGAATGTCTATATGAAATTGCATTGTCAAGCCATGCTGTACTGTTTTAGTCTAAATGGAAATGAAGAAAGTATTCTAAGAGCCAATGGGTGAAATAAAAGGTAAATCTAGATTATTGACCGGATTTAAAAAAAAAAAAAGGATTCATAGCTCAGTGAAATTCATTTCAATCAATTATTATTTTTGAGATTTGGGAAAATGTAGTGGGCTGTTTATTATGAAATGGTTTTATTCCCTTCATTTAGGCAAAGGCAAAGTTGATATTCAAACATATCTAAATCAATGGCAAGAGGAGATTTTCAAAAAAGAAGAAAACATTAAGAATTTACCAAGAATGAATCAGGTATAGTATTTTCAAGGAGAAAATTCTGCGTTCTCATTTTTTGTATGAATTTGGGTATATTGAACTCTAAAGTAGAGTTGCTATTATGAAAATAGTTAAATAATCTATGTGTTATCTCTGTAACTTTCAGATGAGCACAGAAGAGTGGGAACAAATTTTTATATATTTTTTATTTTAAACACTTAGATTTTAATGTTTCAGTATAATTCATGTGTTATGAACATTTGTACCTATAGAAAAGATGTACAATAACATATATTTCAGTGCCTTCTCTTCCAGCTTTATTGGAAATGTTCATTCATTCAGTAAACATTTTTAGTGCCTACTAGTTGGAAACCCTGGTGGCATAGTGGTTAAGAGCTACATCTGCTAACCAAAAGATCAGCAGTTCAAATCCACCAGGTGCTCCTTGGAAGCTCTATGGGGGCAGTTTTACTTTGTCCTATAGGGTTGCTATGTGTCGGAATCAACTCGACAGCAATGGATTTGGTTTTTTTTTTTTGTTTGTTTTACTAGTTGTCAAGCCCAAAGCTAGCTACTGGGAATACAAAATTACTAAGATAGGTCCAGCCCTGGTTCCTAATGAGCTTGTATTTGAACCTGCTCAGGCAATACTAATGACTACTATTGACACAATTCTAAATCCATCTCTTTCTTACGCACTATCCAGTCAGAATATATTCTGATTTTTTTTAAATTAAAATCTGGTTGGCACAGATACTGAGGATCTCTGAAACTTTACCAAAAGGAGAAGTATCGAAGAACTTAGTATATCTCAATGACTAGGTAATTTGACAGTTGAATAAGTACTTTTTAAAATGAGTCAATATAATATATTTATTTCTAGATTATGAATGAACAATACTACAGCCTAAGGAAGGGAAATAAAAGTTAAAAGTTTGTTACAAAATATTTTTTATAAAGTATATCCTTTATAATTGTTGTTTATTTACAGGTAAACTTTTCTGATAGGATGATTGACTTATTAGGACTCTTTTCTGTTAGAATCACTTTTTTAAATTGACAAAATGTCACACAAATATCTTCCAGAAATGTCTATGGATTAGCTAAGAGCAATTAGCAGACAAACCAGGTTACATCTCCACTTGGGCCCCACCTCAGCCTTTGAAGAGGAACATGCCGAAATGGGCTCTTTAGATCTACCTTGCACTATTAGATAGGTCCCAAAAGTCTCATCCCTTTAAGTAGTCCTAGCTGAACTGCCCTTTTATGAAGAATGATTTACATGTAGGGAAATATGGGAATGTGCCTAATTAAAAGTACCACTTAACATTGAAGAAATGCTGGCAGGTAAACTGTCCAGGAATTTGTCATACTGAATATATTGTGGTACTATTAGGCAATCAGTGAGAGGACTTACATGAAATTTTCTTCCATGGTTCATACCCATCTTTCTAGATCTAAGATATAGTTTGGGATTAATCATCAATTCTTGTGGCTTCTAGGGTGAAGATTATATGGTACAAATTCTATATAGGAGACTGTTCCCTTCTAAGTTCTCTTTATGTTTGCTACATCTAATATTCAAATGTGATATTTCCAACTTATGTCTTCTAGTCACAATTTATTCAGTTTTCAAAGACCCTATATAACTTGTTCCATGGGGACCCTGAAGAAGAGTCATTATATCAAGCCATTGCTGTTGTAACCAGCCTTTTACTCAAGATGGAAGAAGTTGGAAGGAAACTGCATAGCCCTACATCATCAGCCAAAGGATTCTCTGGGACTGTCTGTGCTTCTCAAGGACCTAGTGAGGGGACAACAGAGAGCCACTTGCAGGATAAAGATCCCTCCTTTCTCAAGGAGGAGCCTCAGTGGTCATTTGCATTTGAACAAATTCTTGCATCTTTGTTGAATGAACCTGCATTGGTTAAGTTTTTTGAGAAACCTGTAGATGTAAAAGCCAAGCTAGAAAATGCAAAAACCTCTCAGTTAAGGTCTAGAACCAAGATATAAATCTCTTAACAGGAATTGCCTACCATAGACAAGTTTAATCAAGATTCCTGAAGCTATCAGCTTGATTCTTGGGAGTATGACTCAGGAATTTAGCTTTATCTTGTTACCAGTATGTTTGAAGAATATATATATTCTGAAGCACAATGATTCTTTCCTTTGTGGTGATCTCAAATTTTGATATTCTCAAATACAAAAGTTCTTTTTATATTTCACAAGATACACAGTGTCAGGGGAATATGCTAAATGTTACCTACCATCAGAGGGCACTACCTTATCACTTTTAGTAAGGAAATTACTAGATTGTGCTGCTGTTTACATATATATTAGTGACGATTTTGAAAAGATGGTGTTGTGTTTGAGTATTAGTGATGGTGATATGTCATATAAACCCTACTTTCGAAGTTGTCTCAGATCTATGCAAATGCTTTAGAAAACTGGGCTCTGGGATCTATAGCCTTATTTACCTGGAAGATTACCATTTGGAGGTCCCATTTTCAAGTCATCTAACTGAAATATTGTGAATGTTTTCGTATCATTCTGTCTTCTAATAATAGTTTTTTTTTGTTAGTAGCTTCTGCCTTCTCCCTACCCGAGGGGTTCAGAAGCTGCTGACTTATACTTCTATCTCTGTTACTGATTTTAAAAAAATCAAGAACTCTAAACTCTGGGCTGATACAAGGAAAAATAATATTGAACTTGGATTTAAGCCTTTTCAGGAAATTTAAGAAACAGTTTCATTAACTCTGTATATCTCTCATTAGACTTAGAAATTACTTGAAATTCTTCTGAGCATTCCATTCTGTGGCATTTGTCTCAGAGTAGCTTGGGACTGCTTTGGTTCTAGCTTTAGATATTGGATTTTCAACACTCGTGTTTTAAGTAACATAAGGAATAGTTACACTAAGACTGAATTATTGTATTAGTCTGGCAAGTTCATAAAGTATGCTTGTGTAAAGTGATTGTCCAGGTAATACGTAGAATTGCCAGAATCTATCTAAAAAGTTTTGACTATCTGATTTAGATATGTAATCTCTGTATACTTTATGCTGCTTGTAGCTTGTATTCAGTCATTACAATGAAAGTCCACTTAGAGATAATGGGCTTTGTTAGCACTTAAAAAAAAAAAAAAAAAACAAGCAATCCACACCTGTCCTATCTTCCCTGCTGTCTCTGACCAGCGATTTATTAATCAACTAATTTAGGAAATTGAGGGGAAACTCATCCATTGGAATTATATTTCACAAAAAACTTTGGTTTTAAGCCCTTTGACTTTTCTAAATGTGAAACAATGAAAGGGCAAACATCCTTCAGAGTGACCCAAGAAGTCTTCCTTCCTGGGAAGGAATCTGTACAGTCAGGCTTTGACAAGAGTCCACTGTGAACAAGGCCTAATACAGAAGGTTTCGTCACCATAGAATATTTTTTTTCAGACAGTTTCAAGAATTTTCAAGTTGACCCTCTGAGAATTTCATAAATTGGGTATGGCTAAACACTTAGTAGTGTCTGTAAAATGATATGGTCAACTTTGTCTTTTCAAGGAAATTGCCACTTAAAGAGATAGTTGGTACATAAACATCTATTCTTTTTCTCAGAAATGATTTGCTGAAACATATCTAAATTTTAGAACTTAGTTAATAGTTTATATGAAAAGTATCACATAAAAATCTTGGTCTACTTTTATGCAATGATTGTTAAGTTATACTACAGTAGCTCCAGAAAGACACAAAGCTCTGTGTTTATATACAAAGGCACTATTGTACACACTTAGTTGAATATTTTGTCAGTTGTGTTTACAAAGGTAATTTCTTAAGAACATATGTTATTAATATTTGATATGATTTTAAAGTCAGAATATTGAAGATTACTGTGTATTGTATTTTAGCCTAGATTAATTAAAATTTAATACTTAAAGACATTTTATGAATTGCAAAAAAGATTATAAATGCAAGTTAAAAAGACAAACAACTTTATTTTCTGAGTCTACAGGAGAAACAAGCTAAACACATAGTTTTATAGCTGCTGCTTGTTAAACAAAATGGGTTGTTCTTAATATTAAAAATCGTGTGTCATACTGAACCAGTGCATTATAACTTATACATTAAATTAAATATGTTAAAAGGTGGCTTTACCTGTGTTTATAAAAATAAATATTGTAAATCTATTATATTACACATGAAAAATCATTTACTTAAATATATTAATATTATTTACTGTGATGTATTTTTTATTTACATTTAACTCAGGTATCAGTTGACAACTTCCCTCCTGTATCAGCCAGGGTTCAGTTGCAGAGAACAGAATTCACTCTAATTAGTTTAGGCAAGAAAGGATTTATTGCTGCATACTAAAAGCTTTGGAGTCCCTGGATAGTAGCAATGGTTAACACACTCAGCTGCTAACTGAAAGAGGTTCGAGTCCACCTAGAGGCACCTTGAAAGAAAGGCCTGGAGAAATCTACTTCTGAAGAATCAGCCATTAAGAACCCTGTGGAGCACAGTTCTGTTCTGACACACATGGGCTCACCATGTATCAGAATAGACTTGATGGCAACTGGGTTATTTTTTTTTTTTTTCCTAATTAAAGAGTTACAGAATTATCAGGAGGGGCTGACTCTAAATTGACCTTTCAGGAACAACTTCCAAACCATACCACAGAACCAGGCCACCAAAGGAGCTGCTAACTCTTCTACACTCAGGAAACTACTACGTATTTCATAATGAGAAACCAATGCTATTGCTGCTACCTCTAGAAAATGCTCCACCTGCGATGATTTTACACATTTACACCAGCAAAATAGCAGCCATGCAGCCTGCCTCTCAGCACTCACAAGCTAATGACTAAGTTGCAGAGGAATGACCAGACATCTTCACAACCAAGTTTACCAGCAGATATGGCAGAATAATAGCCTGCACCTCCATTCTTCCAATTAAGTTTCACATGAGTGCATCTGATTAGCCTATAATATATATAGAATCCTGGTTGCAAGGAAATCTGGGAAATGTCTTTTTAGCTTTCTAGCCTCTGCAGTACAGGAAGGCACACTCGGAGTTTGGAATGGACATTGAGCACTGTATTCTTTTTTTCTTGTGTAATAAATTACCTCAAACTTGTTGCTGTTGAGTTGATTCCAACTCATAGTATAGAGTAGAACTGCTTCATAGGGTTTTCAAGGCAGTGTCCTTTCAGAAGCAGATCACCAGACCTGTCTTCCGAGGTTCCTCTGGGTATGTTCAAACCGCCAACCTTTCAGCTAGTAGACGTTCACTTAAACACCCAGGGACTCCAGGTTAAAACAGCACACATTTATTATCTCATAGTTTCTGTGAGTTAGTAGTCTGGCCTTGGCTTAGCTAGGTCCTTGTTGTTAGGTACCATCGAGTTAGTTCCGACTCATAGCGACCCTATGTACAACAGAAACACTGCCCGGTCCTGTGCCACCCTCACAATCATTATGCTGGAGCCCATTGTTGCGGCCACTGTGTTAGTCCATCTCGTTGAGGAGCTTCCTCTTTTTCACTGACCCTCTACCAATCATGATGTCCTTCTCCAGGGACGGGTCCCTCCTGATAACATGTCCAAAGTACGTGAGACAAAGTCTTGCCATCCTCACTTCTAAGGAGTATTCTGGCTGTACTTCTTCCAAGACTGATTTGTTCATTCTTCTGTCCATGATATATGCAATATTCTTCAACACCATAATGCAAAGGCATCACTCCTTTGGTCTTCCTTATTCACTGTCCAACTTTCATATGCATATGAGGTGATTGAAAACACCATGGCTTGGGTCAGGCGCACCTTATTCCTTAAAGTGTCATCTTTGCTTTCTAACATTTAAAGAGGTCTTTTGCAGCAGATTTGCCCTATGCAGTATGTCGTTTTTCCTGACTGCTGCTTCCATGGGCGTTGATTGTGGATCCAAGTAAAATGAAATTTTTGACAACTTCAATCTCTTCTCCGTTTATCATGATGTGGTTTACTGGCCCAGTTGTGAAGATTTTTGTTTTCTTTATGTTGAGGTGTAACCCATACTGAAGGCTATAATCTTTGATCTTCATCAGTAAGTACTTCAAGTCCTCTTCACTTTCAGCAAGCAAGCAAGGCTGTGTCATCTGCATATCTCAGATTGTCGATGAGTCTTCCTCCAATCCTGATGCCACATTCTTCTTCATACAGTCCAGCTTTTCAAATTATTTGCTCAACATACAGATTGAATAAGCATGGTGAAAGGGTACAAACCTGACACACACCTTTCCTGACTTTAAACCACACAGTATCCCCTTGTTCTGTTCCAGTGACTGCCTCTTGGTCTAAATACAGGTTCCTCATGAGCACAATTAAGTGTTCTGGAATTCCCATTCTTAGCAATGTTATCTATAATTTATTATGATCCACACAGTCAAATGCATTTGCATAGTCAGTAAAACACAGGTAAACATCTTTCTAGTATTCTCTGCTTTCAGCCATGATCCATCTGACATCAGCAATGATGTCCCTTGTTCCACATCCTCTTCTTCAAATCCTGCTTGAATTTCTGGCAGTTCCCTGCCGATGTACTACTGCAACCACTTTTGAATGATCTTCAGCAAAATTTTACTTGTGTGTGATATTAATGATATTGTTCGATAATTTCCAGATTCTTTTGAATCACCTTTCTTTGGAATGGGCACCAATATGGATCTCTTCCAGTTGGCTGGCCAGCCAGGTAGCTGTCTTCCAAATTTCTTGGCATAGATGAGTGAGCGCTTCCAGTGCTGCACTCATTTGTTGCAACATCTCAGTTGGTATTCTGTCAATTCCTGGTGCCTTGTTTTTTGTCAATGCTTTCAGTGCAGCTTGGACCTCTTCCTTCATTCAGTACCATCAGTTCTTGATCATATGCTACCTCCTGAAATGATTGAATGTCGACCAGTTCTTTTTGGTACAGTGACTCTGTGTATTCCTTCCATCTTCTTTTGATGCTTCCTTCATCATTGAATTCCCCGTAGAATCCTTCAATATTGCAACTCGAGGCTTGAATTTTTTCTTCACTTCTTTTGTCTTGAGAAATACTGAACGTGTTCTTCCCTTTTGGTTTTCTGTGTCCAGGTCTTTGCACATTTCATTATACTACTTTACTTTGTCTTCTTGAGCTGCCCTTTGAAGTCTTCTGCTCTTTTACATCATCATTTCTTCCTTTGGCTTTAGCTGCTCTTCGTTCAAGAGCAAGTTTCAGAGTCTCTTCTGACATCCATTTTGGACTTTTCTTTCTTTCCCGTCTTTTTAATGATCTTTTGCTTTCTTTATGTATGATGTTCTTGATGTCATCCCACAGCTCGTCTGTTCTTTGGTCATTAGTGTTCAACGTGTCAAATCTGTTTTTGAGATGGTCTCTAAATTCAGGCGGAATGTACTCAAGGTGGTACTTTGGCTCTCATGGACTTGTTCTAATTTTCTTGAGCTTCAACTTGAACTTGCCTATAAGCAATTGATGGTCTGTTCCACAGTCATCCCCTGACCTTGTTCTGACTGATGATATTGAGCTTTTACATCGTCTCTTTCCACAGATGTAGTCGATTTGATTCCTGTATATTCCATCTTGTGAGGTCCACGTGTATAGTCGCCATTTATGTTGGTGAAAAAAGGTATTTGCAATGAAGAAATCATTGGTCTTGCAAAATTCTATCATGTGATCTCCAGCGTCGTTTCTATCACCAAGGCCATATTTTCCAACTACCATTCCGTCTTTGTTTTCAACTTTCGAATTCCAATCGCCAATAATTATTAATGCATCTTGATTGCATGTTTGATCAATTTCAGAGTGCAGAAGTTGGTAAAAATCTTCAATTTCTTCATCTTTGGCTTTAGTGGTTGGTGCATAAATTTGAATAATTGTCGTATTAGCTGGTCTTCCTTGTAGGTATATGGATATTATCCTATCACTGACAGAGTTGTATTTCAGGATAGATCTGGAAATGTTTTTTTGTTTGTTTGTTTGTTTGTTTTTTTGAGGATGAACATGATGCCATTCCTCTTCAATTTGTCATTCTCAGCATAGTAGACCATATGATTGATTCAAAATGGCCAATACTAGTCCATTTCAGTTCACTAATGCCTAGGGTATCAATGTTTATGCGTTTCATTTCATTTTTGATGA